CGAAGCACGTGCCCCTCGCTAGTGATAACTATACATAGGATTCTAAGGTGTGGCTTTTGTTTTTAAGTTTTAATGCAAGGAAGTAAAAACCAAGGTTTAAAAAAGCGGATTGGTGACCTGGATCGTCCTTACCCATACCTGTGTCGGATCGGTGGATCAATGCGTTGGATCGAAGAATCAGCCGAATAGGCAAGTTTTGTCTCAAAAGTTTATAAATCTCCAAAAATAGTGTTGTTTTAGTTTCTAAAAGTTTTGTCCCAAAAAGTTCTTTTATTTGAGCAAGTAAGTGTACAGTGCTTTTATTATGACCGTAGAATCACACTTGGGTTGAAAACATGAGAAATAGCTAATGGTTGGGCGCATTTCTACCGTTAATGATAAAGACTAAGGGTATTCACGTCATTTATAGAAAAGTGGGAAACATACAAGTGGAGTGTGGGTCAACAATAATATTTGGGTTGAACGGGACATTTTGTCCCTTTGCAGTTTTCATACATAAAGGCAGTGGGAGAATTGTTCCACATTGACAATTTTAGGGGTACTTCACTTGTATAAAGCACTTGAGGCCGATGTCTTTAATTGCACCTGGTTGAGTGAGACGCATCGGGGATATTCAAGTATTAAGTGTAGGGTTTTTGGGAATCCCAAATACCGGGATCTCACCCAAGATAGTGTAACTAATTGGCTAAACATGAAATAGATGAATACAACTATAAATCGAGTGCGAAAAATAGAGCAAACATAAAAAGCGCACCACCATAACACATGATTTATGCGGTTCAACCCGTAGGGCTACATCCACAGCATCGGCAATTAGAAATCTCCCCAAAGGGGCTGCTCTATTGGAGGTCATATCTCTCTCTCTTGAAGACCCATCTCCATATCAGAGATGCATTCCCATAACCTCCAAAGGGGTGACCCTCAAAAGATGTGTACCTTCACTCTTTTATAAAGATATCAATTTCTTGTTTCCCATATGGTATAAAAATTTGGCTATCACCAAACCTAACATTAAGGAGGAAGAATATCACAGTTTTCCTACTCACTTGTATATAGCACTTCTTCCTCCTTAATATTTGAATATCCCCGATATGGGACACAATGCCGCAGTTTTCCTACTCATAGGGTTAATTTCTTTGAGCCTCTAGACTTTGTCCAAATTTCCACTTAATGTTTACCTTTTCCTTTGCTTTTGGTATTGATATATGAGCTTTAGGGTTCTTTTTATTTTGGTGTTGATATAAGAGCTTTAGGGTCCTCAAATGTTGAATAAAAGAACGATATTTTTGCTTTTCTTTTTTTTTGGGTAGCTCCCCACACACTTGTATACAATACTTCTTCCTCTTTAATATTTGAATATCCCTGATGTGGGACACAATACTGCAGTTTTCCCACTCGTAGTGTTAATTTCTTTGAACCTCTAAACTATGCCCAAATTTCACATAATGTTTACCTTTCTTTTGCTTTTGGTGTTGAAATATGAGCTTTAGGTTCCTTTGCTTTTGGTAAGGATATATGAGCTTTAGGCTCCTCAAATGTTGAATAAACATGACGATATTTTTGTTCTTTTTTTTTTTCTTTTTTGGGGATAGTTCAGTGGGAAGACACGCACCTACTTGTTTTTTCAAGTAGATTAAGAGTTAGCTCTTTAAAGATATTAGTGGAGTAGTGTTAGTGATAGGAATGAAAACCACAACGTAGCGAGTAAGGTGTTGGTAGTTTCCTAATATTTTTGCTTGACAAGGGGAGCTTACGAAAAGTTTTGTGATCATCCTCAAGAATGAATTTGGCTTTTTAAGTTCTCCCCATTACACCCAACTCCTATGATAAATTGGATGTGGAAAAAAAATCCTTTTGTAATTAAAGAAAACACAAAAAAGTTCAAGTGTAGTTGGATTCAACTAAACGCTAGATTAATAAATTAACCACTCAAATACCATTGTTTACTACTTTTTTTTTTAAAGACATCCAGAGATCTTTATTAATCACAAAAGGGAGTTGACATCAAAGGAGATACAAAGAGAAGTACAAGACACCCCACACTTTGCTAACCCATCAGTGAAACCATTAGCCTCACAGTACACTTGTGAGAAAGCAATCGAACAGTTTGAACAAAGATCCAAAATCTTGAGCCACACAGATCGTAATTCCCCAGGGACCAATTGTTCCTTACGACACCACCGGATGACATTCAAAGAATCGCCTTCAACCTAGCAGTTACTACCCAAAAACCTCTCTCTAAAGATCTCCACACCTTTGAGCAAGGCATGCAACTCTGCTGAGTTGGCCTTTGCCACACCAATAGGGCCCTCATAAACCAACAAAACACTACTTTCAGAATTTCGAAACACGGCTCCTATCCCAATTGTGCTTGGGTTTCCAAGAGAACTCCCATCAAAGTTTAGCTTAATGCACCTCAAAAGTGGTTTAGGCCAAAGACCTTTGGGTTTACCTTTGGGCAAATCAAGGGAGAGCAAGTTAGAGAGATTATCATAACGTCAACTTTCGAGATCCCCCAACCTTCCTTAGAGACCGAGAGGCTTGACCAAATAGACAATTTGATCAAATGAAGTATTTTATTCACCGGCATCGTAACTCCTTCAAATGTCCGCCTATTCCTTTCTTTCCACACTTCCCACATAATCATACCTATAGCAATTTCTCATATTGTTCAACCCACTGTAGGCAAAAATAAAGGGGTGAAATGATGAAGTAAACCCATCACACTATGTGGTAGAGGAAAAGAAACACTAATCACGTTCATTAACCGATGCCATAAAATCGAGATAAAGGGACAATGAATCAGCATGTGGTTCACCGATTCCCCATCTTGTTTACAGAGGAGGCAAATATTTGGCATAATTTTGCCCCTCTTTATGAGGTTATCAACTGTTAAAATCTTATTCTGTGATTCCAAGCACACAAAAATTTGGACTTTATGTGGGATCTGCCATTTCCATATCTGAGCAATAGAAGGAGCCGACCACCTCAACCGATCATGGAACAAATTGTAGCACGATTTAACCGAGAATAATCCATCAATTTCTAGCTCCCAGACAAAAATATCCTCAGCATTCACACCATTGTGCTTGTACCATATCAGATAGCCTCCTATAAATAAGGGGAATACGTAGGACCACCATTCTTCTTCTCTACATCACAAACCAAGAGATTTTTATTTGAAGCTAGTTGGTACACATCAGGGAAAATACACTTCAATGGATAATCCCCTATCCATTACAAATTTGAACCTAGTGATCATTTCCCAAATGTACTAGAAAAATTTTATACAAGCAAAATTAAATGAAAACAGACAAAATAAAAAAGAGATACTAGATTGGGTTTTTCTTTTTTCACTCACTCTCTCTTGGACTAGATTTTCTTTTTTCGTTCTTATTTTATACTCTATATCTCTCTTGGATTGGTTGTTTTACACTCACACACATTCTCTCTCTTAAATATTAGATTGGATTTTTCTTCTCCCTCTCAATTAGGCATGTGATTGTACTCCAACTCTAAACAAAATTAAATATGACACCCCTCGAGAGATAAAACATCAATAAAAATACAAATAGAAATAAATAATTAATCTAATAAATTAATTTTTAGAGCAAGGAGAAAAATAAGAAATGAGTAGGCGATACTCTATCTTGCTCAAGTGGCATTGGAGACTAAAAAAAACAAAAACAAAAATTGAGTAAGAGAGACCCATTTTATAGCAATGAGTTGCATTTTAAACTTTATTTTGGCTACAAAATAAATGTAATAGACAACAAACACTCCGACATGAGACATGTTCTTAATATTTACCTTTTTTAGTAAAATAATGAAAAAATATAATGCAATATCATCATTTGTAGAAAAGTAATAAAAGATATTTAAAAAAATTAGCGACTCTTTTGAAATTTTTAAAGGCCGGGTTTGGCTGATCTGACCGACCCACCAATCTAGACCGCCGAAAGTCGATCCATACTAATTTTCTGGATGCTCGCCCTATCATTTTCTTAAGGAAAAAGTTTACATAAGGTGTCAACTTTATAGTGTAGAACAAATATGTGCTTAAAAACTCCCTCAGAAAATGTTATGATGTCAAAGAGCCCTCCAATCGATGAGATGAGCTGGACTTGGAGATGCATGGATATGGAAAAAAAGGATTTCAAGTAGTGAAAATAGTAAATTTTGTAACACACTATCTAGTTTGTCAATTTTCAAAATTTTCTAAGTGTTTATAAATTTGTTCGATCTACAATATTTTTAAGTTTTAAATTTCTTAATTAAATGTGAAATAAATTTTTAGGTTATTCTAAGAAATTTTTGTCATTTTTTTTTTAACGAAGTCTAGATGTGCCACTTATTTTAAATTGGGATAATTGTTTCATGCGGGCTAGACTGCATTTCTACATATGCCGTACATAAAATGTAAAGCATCCATTTTAAAGATGGATGCAAATAGGTGTTCCATCTAAAAACAATGGAAACTAGAAGTCCAAATATTTTTTACTAGAATTATTATTTTTAATTTTTAAAAATTATTTATTTATTCATATTCACGATTTCCATGACAGAGATTACATGTCTTTAAAAATGTAGTCTTAAAATCCATCTCAAAACTAGATTTATCGAGGGGAAAAGTTTATATAGAGCCGTTCTCTAAACAATCAAATTTGAACCTATGTAAAAAACAATCAAATTTGGACCTATATAAATTTGATGCCCAAATATCTTCAAATTGGTTATTTGGACATCAAGATGCATAGACATGAGAAAAAATGAATTTCAAGTTTTGAAAATAGTGCAATTAATAACGCATTTTTGGACGGTCAATTGACAAAATTTTCAAGTTTTTATAAATCTATCGATCTACACTATTTTTTAAGCTTTAAATTTTATAAATAAATATAAAACTATATTTTAAGGCTAATTTTATGTACTAAAACCACATGTCTCGATACTATTTGGAGGTAGGCTCTAATTAGAAACCGGGTCCTTTTAATTGTTTAAGATTGACGCTTGAACAAACTGCACTGCACCCCTTTTTTTTTTTTTTGTTGTTTTTAAAAAATGCTGATTTCAGTTCCTTGTGCCACCTACTGCAACCTGTAAATATGCTAATTATTTGACGTAATGAAGAAGCATCATCTCAGTCCCGTGACTGTGCTCATCAACACATTCTTTCCGCCCTCGAGGGGCAATCTCGTCTGACTAAAGCCCTGATGGTCACTGCAATAACTGCTTGCTGAAGATTTTGAAAATACCCCGAAATGGCAATGCAGAAGAATAATTTCAATGTATATTGCGTTGGAACTGCGGATACAAAGTTACAGGAGCTTCAATTCCTATCAGAATGCCTCAAATTCAGTTTAGATCGTTTCTTAAAGGGATCCTCCTTAAAGGTATTCAAACAGAAGCGCTTCTCATATTGTTTGGGTTACTTTTCTGATTTGTTTCTTTTTATAATTTCTCTGTATATGTGTAGCTTTTATGATTATCTCCTTCTTTGGGTCTCTTTGATTGCTGCAGTTTACTGAGTTTTTCTTCAGTTTTCTGATTTCTGCCAATAATATTCTCTGAACTTTGATGCTTATTGGACTGTTTCCTAAGCTGAGTCTTATGCTTGGATGTCCTCTAAATGGAAACTAGTAATTTATACATCTCCATTGAAATTTTTCTGATGTTGATTATGAGAATGTGGGTGGTGGTTATCCATTTTGTAATTCAATTAATTCGTGTTCATATGATGGTTTTATGCAATGCGTGTATTGGGTTTCCTTGAAAATTGAGCATTATTCAAGTTTTGATGCTCAGTTAGTTGGTGTTATTGTCGCTTTTGGGAATTGGACAGGTTTCACCGAGGTTTCAATAATTTTTCAAGCATAGAGTAGATCGATTTGATGCGTTTTTTTTGGGGTAATTTTAAGGGAATTCTTGTCCGAACTTTCTTAATCAATTCTTGCAATCCGGGCCATGAGTAAATAATGATTCAAACTTATCTCAAATTGTTGTTGTATTGGATTAATAGCTTTTTTAAGTGATACATAGGCATCATGTTTAGTTTTGATATTGATATACTTGTCTGAACACATAACTCCAGGGGTACAACAATAAATGCCAGTCAGTTGTGCTACGAGCTCGAACCTTATGTGATTGCGCTTGATGTCATCTATATCCACCATTTCTGAGATGAAATGACAATATATTTCAACTTATTACTCCCTACATTGCAAACTCAATCCATTTAGAACTAAACGACATTTTAACTGCCTCAAGTCAATACAATTTGGAATAGAAGGATGTTGACCATGTTAAATCTGCTAGTTCTGTCTCTATCGTCAACCTTTACATTTGATTTCCCATTGTCCTTTGAGTAGTTTTTTTTTTTTATTAAAATCAATCTTGATATTGATATAATATTATTGGGATATCCTACTCAGTTGCCAAGAGAGTTGATCAAACAACAAAAAATCTTTACATTTTTAGTACTAATAATGCTAATTATGAACTTTAAAGTTAGTGACATTTTAAAATACATTTTGGAATAGAAGGATCTTGACCATGTCAAATCTGCGAGTTGTATCTCTATCTTCAACCTTTACATTTGATTTCCCATTGTTCTTTGAGTAGTAGTTCTTTATTTATTAAAATCCATCTTGATACTAATATAATATTATTGGGATATCCTGCTCAGTTGCCAATAGAGTTGATCAAACAACAAAAAATCTTTTCGATTTCGATGTGCTGCTCTGATTTCGATGCCCTAAAACTCTTGAATGCTTAATGTCTTCATATCCTTGAGATCTTCAAAGGCCATGATTCTTATAAGTCCCTTGCTGCATTCTCTCCATATTCTTCACGAGCAAGATCCTCTTCCAAAACATCTTCTTCAACTTGATCCTTATCATAAAATGGATCTCGTAAGAGATCTTGTTGTTCATCTGATTATGTATCGAAGATTGGTGCCAAATCCCAATCTACAACCTGCTGATTTCGGATGCAACCTGCATTAAAATCAAGAATGTCCTCCTTCAAATCGATATCCCTAAAGTGATTCTTGCAACATCTAGGTCTTCTATCACTCTTCTCTTTACTCGACTCCACATGCAGCGCGGTGGTGAAAAGGATTAAATTTCACATCTTTGTGGGTAGAAAGATCACTGACGGCCCATCAGTGATGTTCTCTTGCTGTTGAGTAAGCTGCTAAATTTGCCTTCTAAGGTTTTGAATCGTCACATCTCTAGAATCATGGGGTAGATAGATGAAATCCCCCTAGAATCCCTTAAAAATTTAAAAAACCTAAAAATGAACCTTCAAATTAAAATTAACATATGTGTCATTTGAAATTAAATAAAAATTAAAAGAGTATTTTTGTCTGCATCAATAGTTTTGTCTTGCATTAGATACAAATAGATGGTGGAGATTTAAAGGTAATGGATGACCAGGATATCATAGAAACTTTTAGGGTTCAAAGTTGAATAGTGGTATTATGTAGCTAAGAGGAGACTTGGGTTATTTTCTTTTGGTGGAAGAAAATTTGAAATGTGTGATGCTCCTTGTGTGTTGAATTCCTTCTCTTGCAACTGTGTGTAGAATTTTGTGTTTGTTGGTTTGATTACCTTTATTCTTTGATATTTTTTCAAGCACAAAGTATCAAGGCCTGCATCGTGAACTACTTGCTTTACTGTCATTTTGATATTTTCTTATTTTCGACCTTTAGGGGTATTCTACTAACTAATTGATGTAGAGAAATTGATAGAGAACAGTAAAATCAGCAAGAAAACTAGCCACGCACAAGCACAATTCGAAAAAACCTAGGTTTCTTCCCTAACCCAGTTGGGTTTCAAAAGCCTAGAGCTTTTACTTCTATTTCTTTGAAAATAGCGTCAAGACCCCACACACCTCTTATATATTATTATTTAATGTTCACGGACAGTAAAGGTCCATAGAATAATTAAAATGACCCAAAAAGTCCTAATTTAAACACAAAATTTGTAATAACAATTTTACCCATGTGAATAATGAACAGTCCTATGAATAATATCCTTGAACAGTACCCACGAATGGTAATTGGTGAATCATCATCATTTGAGTCTTATCTTCACTATTTGGGGTTGGCTACACGAATCATGTTCTGCCATTCTACTCTATATAAAGGGCATACCCTCAGTAAGACCATAAGATAGGTTCGAGCTTCCTGAAAATATGGGGCAATGTTTTATGCTGGTTGCCTACCTAACAAAACTCTCCTCCTTTACCCAGGCATAGGACTTGCGCGACTGTCATGGGGCATGCCAAGGCAGAGTTGAATAACAACTAGTGAATAGTAAATAAAAATATAAAAGAACCTAGAATTGTTTAAAAATTTAAAAACCCTAAAAATAAATCCTAAAACTAAAATTAAAATATGCATCATTTGGAATTGAATAAAAATTAAATAAAAATAATCTTGTCTTCCATCATTCCCTTGGTTGGAGAAAAACTCGTCCTTGAGTTTTAAGGTAGGTTAATATGAATTTCGCATTAGTTCCTCTTCCATAATCTTTCTTCAATCCAAACATGATGCTTTGAATCTTTGGACTTGTGGTTTATTGGCCCAATCAAATTACAACAACTATACATTGAGGCTGTGGCTTTGAAATCAATTGATATATTCATAAACACTTTTGATAAATGCTCAAGGAGAGGGTCATTGTGTGTCAATAGGTTTAGCCACATAAACTTGCTGAAATTGCATCAGTTCAGCCATATAACCCTACTGAAATTGCTTAGGCTCAGTCCTAGAAGATACCACGGGTGCATCTTCGAGATGAGCACAAGATTCGATGATTGAACCAACTGTTGCATCCGTTGACTTTCCTTGGAGTCCTTCATCCTTTTCATTGTCAAAGATTGGTTCAACCACATAATCTTGTTCATCTTCCAAGTATGCATTAAGGATTAGTCAGATCTCAAACTACAACCTATTGATTTTGGATACAACCTACATCAAAAGCAAGAAAGTCGTTCTTCAAATTGAAAATCCTAGAGTGATGTTCCCCACGCCTAGATCTTATATCACTTTCCTCTTCCTTGACTCTTCACGCGGAGCATGGAGATAAAAAGGGTGGTATTCACATCTTCTTGGGCGGCTGGATCATCATCTTGCCAATAAATCATGCTAAAAGATTATTGCGCTAGCTGCTATACTTGCCTTTTAAGCTTCTCAATTTCTTTATCTTTGAGATCATAAAGTTGATATGTGAAGACCCTCCTTCTATGGCGCCTTCTCGCTGCCATGGGTTTCCTTAAATCACAAACCTTAAGCAGATAGTCAACAAAAACCTGCTGAAAACAGCAAGATCTAGGTTGATTTAGCAAATGTTGACCCAAAATCAGCAAATCCTAGGTTTGGCTGTCTTTTCTCAGCTTTGTTGTTGAAGAAAACCTGAGCTCTCCCCTCAAGGCCTGACATACCTCTTATGTATTATAATTAAATGTTTAAAGACATTGAATGTCCAATATTAAAATGGCTCAGAAAGTCCTAAATTATGAACGAAAATTTGGCAACCCAGCCACTGATGCAGCATATTTTGAAAAACGCCTAGTCGTGGACTAGGCGGCCTGTCCTAGGCGGCTTTTACTAGGCGCCCAAGTCCTCCCGTGTAAAACTGAATTAAAACTATTCAATTTTAATTAATATATAGAAGGATTAGACTTTTTATGCCCCTTATCGTTTTGCATGTAATAGTAATCATTAATTTATTGTTAAACCAAAAATAATATTAATTTGTAATTATTAATTTATCAAAAATGCTTTTTGCATGTGATAGTAATTATTAATTTATTGATAAACCAAGAATAATATTAATTTGTAATTATTATTATATAGTGTATGCAATAAAATGGGGGTAGGTTTGGGGGATCCAACTTTTAAAAACAAGACAACACAAGCCGCCTTTGGGTCTGGGTGTCCGCTTTGGCGGCCGCCTTAGCGCCTAGGCAGCCCAGAGCCCAAACCGCCTAGGCGGCCCGCCTATGCCTTTTTGAATATTGGTCCTAACTTAACTAGAAAATTCGTAATGACAATTTTATTCCTTGAATGGTAACCCATGAATATTACCCTTGAACAATACCCATGAATAGCAACCAATGAATAGTAAAAAAAATCTTAGAACCCCTAAAAAATTAAAAACCCTAAAAATAAACCCTTAAAATAAAATTAAAATATACATATTTTGAAATTGGATAAAAATAAAATAAGAATAATTTTGTTCTTGCATCACTAACTTCACTACCATTTTGTTTCACAACTTTTAATCTTTGAATTAGTCCTTAATCCATCCTTAAGAACATGCATTGCCTTGTGAAAGTTTTCTTATGCGTAGTCCCCAAAGCGTACAGCCCTTTGACATAATTCATTTATTGCAAAGTTAAAGATTATCCAACTACAACTAACTCATGGTTGTTCTTGTCCACCATTTCAAAGTGTAATTAGGTGTGTTAGCTTTCCCCAAGCCTTTACTAAGTGATATGCTTTAAAAATTGAACAACTTGATCAACCATTAGGAAGCAAGGAGAAGGATTCCCACATGAACCAAACCTTGATACTTTGTTAGTACTTGTAGTAGTAACAAGATATAACTGTAGTTCATTCTTCTTTTATTGACTTTCTACTTCACGTATCATTTAAAATATCAAAATTGCATAAATTCAATGCTCCACCTTAAGCTAGCTTTCTCTGCCAAATGTCAAACATTTCACTTTATCTTTTTGAACTTCTCAAGTCTCAAAATTCAAAGGTTTCATTCTTACATTTGCAACTTGACTTTCAATCTGTGATGCATAGGCTTAATTTCTGTACAAAGCAGTGCCACTGCCATGAAAGACTTATTTTTAGCCAATGGCATTGCAGGCCTATTACTCAAAGTACATTGTTACTGGACCTCAAGGGTTTGTTCATAACACCTAACAAATAAAGTAACACCAAATGGCTTAACATGGAGCAGAACTTTCTGTTATTATTCTATTTTATTGGGTAAGGAAACAACATGAACCACGGCCGTATTTACTCTTATAATGTAGAATTCTTTTTGCATTTTTCAAAATAGAGGCATTTGGGTCCACTTCCACATATCCATTGCTCAGGACTAGTCAGTGACATCGAAACTTGTGACCCGTGTCCTAAAGAGAGTAGGATCAGCAACTCAATTTTGCTTTATTGACATAGCTTCAATTTTGTTTCATGTGTTACTTGGTTTGTGATTCACATTTCACCATTTGGGAAATTTATTTCATGTACTGTTTTGCCGAGAATAAAGATGGATCATCATGCTTAATTTCTTTTATAAAAGTATGATGTATCTAGTGTCACTCTAACTTGCAACTCATGGACTCCATGAACTCATCAATCATCAGTGATTGACGAATAAAAATAAGATTATCAACAAAAAGGTAAATGATCGGGATACAAGATTTGGTTTACGTAAAGAGCATGCTCATTGGAGTACTTGTGGAAACTGTAAACAAATTTCTTGAATAAAATCATCTTTGCTTCCGGACCAAATCTTTTGTATGATTGTACTTATAGAATATGGCAGCACCCATAATATTACAGAAAACTAAGTTATAACTATAATATAGAGCATTTTGTCTTTAGTGCAGAAGAGTCGCTCTGTTGATTAAATGTACTGAGTAGAATATGATATTATTTCTTTTTTGAAACTGCTGAAGTTGCTCTACATGCAAGATTTCTTACATCTTTCTAAGTCTTATAAATTTCTTTGGTCCTCAACCTTTGATTGGGGTATCTCAAGCTCTTATGCTTCATTCTTCGGTAACCAGCCTTAAGAAGTTAAAAGTTATTGTCCTCTTATTTGCTCATCAATAATTTACTCCATGTTACTTTGGTAGGCTTGGATAATGAGTACTGATTCTTAGGCATCTGCTTATTCTTGTAATAATATAATTGTCATGGTCCTTTCTTAGGGTTTGGAATGCTTGTAGTCTTCCTTGTGGATTTCCTTCATATACATAGAACCGTTTCAATTCCCGTCCTTGTGCAGATACCTAAGAAATCTTGCATTACATGCATGATTTCTTACACAAACATGCGCGTATGCAGACAAGATAGATATATGCATATGTACTTCCTTTGCATGTCTTATTGATTCTTTCTTAGGCATCTGCTTATTCTTGTAATAATATAATTGTCATGGTCCTTTCTTAGGGTTTGGATTGCTTGTAGTCGTCCTTGTGGTTTCCTTCATATACACAGAACCGTTTCAATTCCCGTCCTTGTGCAGATACCTAAGAAATCTTGCATTACATGCATGATTTCTTGCACACACATGCGTGTATGCAGACAAGATAGATATATGCATATGTACTTCCTTTGCATGTCTTCTAATTCTTAAGATTTACACAAGTTGTGAGTTATTTCCATTCTTGTTTATGAGGATGTACAGGTAAAAGTGATGATTGTTGATGTTTCTGCTAGCCAAAATGAAACTGTGTGTGAGAAAAATGCAGAGTTTGTGACAAGGCAAGAGGTTCTTTCCTGCTATACTGAGACTGTGACTGCCCACCTTCCCGATGAAAGAGCTGAAGCCGTGAAAATAATGAGTGAGGCACTTAAAGTTTTCCTTGGAAAATCTCATGGGGAAGGAGTTCTTGGAGGAGTCATTGGCCTTGGAGGAACTGGGGGGACTTCCTTAATAGCTACTGCACTGAGATCTCTTCCACTTGGGGTGCCTAAACTCATTGTATCCACAGTGGCTAGTGGGCAAACTGAACCATATATTGGGATATCAGATTTGATTCTTTTTCCATCAGTAGTGGACATATGTGGGCTTAACAGTGTCAGCAGGGCTGTGATATCAAATGCTGGAGCTGCTTTTGCTGGGATGGTAGCTGGAAAACTGATCAAATTGGGTTCTTCCGATGAAACCAAAGCAAAGATTAATGTTGGGATGACAATGTTTGGAGTTACAACTCCATGTGTAAATGCTGTGAAAGAGAGGCTGATGAAAGAAGGTTACGAGACACTTGTGTTTCATGCTACTGGAGTTGGTGGTAAGGCCATGGAGAACCTTGTTAGAACTGGTTATATTCAGGTACTTTTTTTCCTTATGAAACTTTATATCTTTGGGTTGTATGATGAAAACAATGGATGCAGCATAGATTAAAATTTTGGGAAAGAGCAGCCAGATTTGGATTTGGCCTCACGGAAACTGGGACAGGGCCATCCATGTGTTTTTAGTTACTCCCTCTGCTTTCAGTGCACGATCCTGAAATTCATAGTGTGCTTATCTCATATTTCTTTGAAAAGCTTTTTCTTTTTTCTTTTGGAACGTGGAACCATAATTCAGCCACAAATGTGAAGTTTGGCTTTTTCTTTTCCTTTGGATATTATGAAATTTCCTCTATGCCACATCATTTTGGCCAAAAATATATTCCAAAATTCTAAATACAAAGTCGTGGGCTGCAAATATTCCAGATTTTTTTAGTTTACAGAGAGACTTTAATTAAGTCAGTGTAACTCATATGCATAATGCATTATCCTTTGTATCCTTCGATTGATTTTTTGCTTGGCACTATTTTTGTCTTACCTTCTATTTGAAACATATTGTTTACTCAATATTGTTGCTATGTGTTGTAGTGACCTTATTCCCTTCATGATTTTGGGTCTCATAACTGGAGTTTTCTTTGGAGATTTGTCTTTGTTTAATATCTTTAAATTTGCAGGGAGTTATTGACATTACAACAACAGAAGTCGCTGATCATTTGTTGGGGGGTGTCATGGCCTGTGATAGTTCAAGGTTTGATGCCATTTTAGAAAATAAAATCCCACTAGTCCTTAGTGTGGGTGCTTTAGATATGGTAAATTTTGGAACTAAGGATACAATGCCTTCTCAATTTAAAGGCAGGAAGATCCATGTGCATAATGCCCAGGTACTTTTAATCTCCCTGCAATTGTTCTTTGGTGATAACTTTCTACTCCAAGCACTCTTTGACATCTTTAGATATGGCTATTTCGAACTTGTACTTCTTATCAACAGTACTGAACCTTTTTGTGACACACAACGTTTCCGGATGGGAGTTTAAGGGTGTTTGTACATATTAGTCTTTGGTTCTCAATTAGATTGAGCTTTCAAATTAATGTTCTACGGCAAAGGACTTTGAGCATTAAATCTCCCTTTATGTGGGAAAGTGGGACTTGTAATTTGTTAGTGTCTCTAAAAGTAAATAAAACTTGGTTGATGATACAGTTGGTTCTGTTCATTTTTATGTTTTTTTGAGTTGTGAGTACTTGTAGATAATTGTCGATGCTTTTGTTATTGGATTTCTCTTAATGGCCATCTATTAATTTACAGTTACTTTATATAATTTGAGGAGTTCTTAAATATTTAGTGGAATGCTAGATCTCTCTTATGCGTACTTCTGTGGAGGAGAACAAGAAATTTGCGCAATTTATAGCGACCAAGTTGAATAGGTCATCAACAAAGATCTGCATTTTACTCCCTGAAAAGGGTATCTCCGCTTTGGATGCACCAGGAAAGCCTTTTTACGATCCGGAGGCTACAGGTGCTCTTATAAATGAGCTAGAGAATCTCATTGACAGAAATGAGAACCGACAGGTGTGACTTGTTTATTCATTATTCTAATGTTTATAGAGTTTCTTGATTTTTTGATTTGTCATGATCAAATAAACAGTCCTCATTTTCTACCATTGTTGATTTTGTAACTTTTATGTTTTTGTTATTTAGGTGAAGAGATTACCATGCCACATTAATGATCCTGAGTTTGTTGATGCGCTGATTGAGTCGTTCTTGGAGATAAGTCATGGGGTGCAGGAAAATGCAGCTCCTAATCAAGTGACTCATGTCGGAACTGGTGGTAATATGGACAAGGAAGAAGCACCTTTACATGAAGCTGGGCCGACGAGTAAAATTCTTTGGCATAAGCCAAAAGATTTTCCTGATGCTAGACCAGGTTGACTTGCTATCTCTTATTGATGTGTTACTTAAATTCTAATCTCTAGAATCAAATGACCATGGCTTTTAGGCTTTGTTAAGATTACTTGTATGATTTGTTAAAATTACATGTATGTATATGCATCTCAGTTGTCTCATATGCAATTAGAGATTATATTAGTCATTTTCCATTTCTAGTAGTATTTATGTCCTCGAGTTAGTTGTCTCCACCATAAAATCAGGTTGACATTGTGTTGTGGGAGAACTTGAAGAAACATAGAAAAATCAGCAAGAAGCACCTTGTCACAAGCAATTTTGCAGAAACCCTAAGGCTTTCTGCTAGGGCTCAACCTTAGGCTTCATTTACATGACAAAGTCTTTTCTTTTCTTAAAGAGGAATACATGAATGCCTCTCCAGCCATCCACGCCCTTATTTATAACGGAAAATTATTGTTTTGAACAATATTTATCCAAACAATTGACTTTAGACCAAAAGGCCCAAACTTAAGTAAAACTTGAAACTAAACTTCCTAACTTTAATTAAAATATCTAAAAAGTTCCTAACAAGTCATGCAATGAAATAAATAAAAAAACATCTGCCTAAAAAACCTTAAAAAAAACATTCAAACTATTTATTGTTCTTCTTGTTTTTTTTGGAAGCCCTCTTAACGTTTTCATCCTCCAAATATGAGCGAGAATTAGGAGGAATCTGTCGCTCCTAAAGAAGATATTCGTGGCTACTTGTGCTCTAATCACCATCATCATTCTCCTCGGGTTGAGGAGTACTCGCCCTTGAGTTCACATCTTCATATTCATGCACCTTCAGACCACGATACTCTCATAGATCAGCAATGTTGAAGATGCCCGAAGTTTCCATATGTGAAGGCAAAGCGACCTTGTAAGCATTGCTGTCCACCTTCTTCAAAATCTTGAATGGTCCTGCCTTGCGATCATGGAGCTTGTTGCATTTTTCCACTGGATGCCGTTCCTTCTTGAGATACACCATTAACCAGTCTTCCACATTAAACTCCTTAAAATGGCGATGCTTGTCCATTGCTTCCTTGTATTTGGTTGTATTGGCTTCTAGACTAGCACGCACTTGTTCATGCATGCCTTTCATTTGTTCAACTAAGTCCTCACTAGTAGCATGACCCTCCCCATTGGCCTGGACTGGAACCAAGTCAAGCGAGTGAGTAGGGTTTTTCCCATATACCACCTCGAGCGGAGTCTTACCAGTAGACCTATTGCAAACACTATTATAGGCAAACTTGGCTTGAGGCAGTGCTAGGTCCCACTGTTTCTTCTTTTCACTCACAATACTTCTCAAAAGATTTCCAAGAGTACGGTTTACCACTTCAGTCTGGCCATCTGTCTGCGGATCATAAGCGCTACTAAACTGTAACTGAGTGCCCAATTTCTTTCACAAAGTTCCCAAAAAATGGCTGAGAAACTTCGTATCCCAATTTGAAGTTATCATCTTTGGAACACCATACAACCTCACCACCTCTTTGAAGCACAAGTTAGCAACATGTGTGGCATCTACAGTCTTCTTGCAAGGTATAAAATGAGCCATCTTTGAGAACCTATCCACCACGAATATAGAATCCATACCTCTTTGAGTCCTTGGAAGTCCCACAACAAAATCGATGTTAACATTCTCCCAAGGTGCATTAGGAATAGGCAGTGGAGAATAAAGCCTGGTATTATGTCGTTGCCCCTTAGCTAGTTGACACATACGACACCTCTCAACAAACCGCACAACATCTCTCTTCAATTTTGGCCAGTAGTACTTAGACTCCATCAACATTATGATTTGTCTTAACCAAAATGTCCACTAAGACGTCCCCCATGAAGCTTTGTTATTAGGTTTTCCCAATGGGTGTGTTTGAAGAGAAATCCATCTTGAATAAGAAAATCCCCAACAACTCCATTGCAACATTGGTTCCATGTCTCATTAAAGTCGTCATCATCTGCATAACGATCTTTCATAAACTTGAATGTAGTAATAAAAATCGTCATGGTAGTTAATAGAGTCGACCTTCTACTCAAAGCACGTGCCACTTTGTTTTGACTGCCTCCCTTATGCCAAATAACAAAAGTGAACTCCTGCAAATAAGCTACCCATCGAGCTTGTCGCTGATTTAGTTTATGTTGCCCATTAATAAACTTCAATGCTTCATGATCTGAGAACAAAATAAATTCTCTTTGAATCAGGTAATGCTTCCAATGCCTTAAGGCTTAAAAAATAGCATAAAACTCCACATCATAAGTAGAATAGCGTCGGCGGGTGTCATTCAACTTCTCACCGAGGAAGCAATAGGGCGACCTTCTTGGCTCACTGCACCAATTCCAACATGTGAAGCATCACAATCCAACTCGAAGACTTTATCAAAGTCTGGAAGAGCTAACACGGCGCCTCAGTCATCTTCTGCTTCACAAACTGAAAACTTTTCTCCCCTTAATCAGTCCATACAAATCCCCTCTTCTTCAGATAATCTGTGATAGTGTTATGATCGAACTAAACCCTCTGATAAACCTCTTATAAAAAGTAGCCAACCCATGAAACTGCGAACATCATGCACTGTAGTAGGAGTAGGGCATTCCTTGATAACTGCTACCTTCCTTTGGTCAACGTTAATTCCCTCAGCTGAGACAACATAGCCAAGAAAGATGAGGCTATGTACCATGAATTCATACTTTTTATGATTCAAATGCAATTGTTGTTCCCACAGCAAGTCAAACACCAACTATAAGTGCTCCATATGCGCCTGCTGACTAATACTATACACTAGAATATCATCAGAGTATACCACCATGAATTTCCCAATAAAAGGCTTGAACACTTGATTCATCACCCTCATAAAAGTATTGGGCGCATTGGAGAGGCCAAATGGCATCACCAACCACTCATAAAGGCCCTCTTTGTTAGGACCTTTTAGTAAAAAAGTTAAATTGTATGGATAAATATTGTCCAAAACATTAATTTTCAATATAAATTAGGGTATGGATGGGTTGGAGAGTTTTTCATGTACTCATTTTTAAGAAAAGAAAGATTTTGTCTTGTAAAAGAAGCCTAAGGCTTGAGCCCTAGGTGGGAGAAAACCCTAGGGTTTCTCCAAAATTGCTTGTGTTTGTCTTGTTCTTGCTAATTTTATTGTTCTCTCAATTTCCCCTGCATCACAAAGGCATTGGCTGTTACCCGTAATTGGTCAGGGGTAATTGGTAATTTTTATTTATTGCTGTAACTTATTCTTATATATGTCATTCATGTTCATTGGGAAAGACAAATATATAATTTCTGGATGTATTTGTACCCTTATCTAGGGTTAGAAACATTATAAATATATATTTGAGTGCAGCCCCAGTGAATTATGGGTCACATCACTCTACTTTGGCTTCTTCTCGATTCATCTCTACTTGTGCCACAACTTGTTCTTCCCTCTCAAGTATTCAAGGTGATCCGTTAACATGGTATCAAAGCAAGGTTCAACCATTAATGTGATCCATTGATCAAAGGTCATTATTTAGATTAATCATGTTATTATCAATATTGACGTGAAACCCCTAGATTTGCTCCCTTAACTTGGATTTCTAGATCTCTATTAACCCTAAATCTTTTATTTTCTCAAAATTTCTTCTTGGACCTGAATTCTTTACCCTAAACTCTTTATTTTGATGTGAACAGAAAACCCTAGCTACTGATCATATGAACAGAGCACTATAGGGTAGGGTAGTAGGTGATAAGAAAGGAAGAATTTGCTTGAAGATAAGAGGAGAAGAATTAGCTAAAGCCGAGAGGTACTGAACTTAGCCTAGCCCCAAGACTCTTCATGTGAAAAGTAAACCCTTGCTACCAATCCATTAAATAGTAAACCCTAGTGACTTTTCTTGTGATGCTAGTTTTTGTTCACATGAATAGTAACCCTAGTTACGGTTCACATGACCATAAACCATAGTTACTGTTCATGTTTAAACAGTAAATTCCTGTTTCTTTCAAAAAAAAACTTATTTCCACCACATTCTACTCATTTGATCCCATAGAATCTTCTAGTCTCCTCAATATATTTTTTGGGTGAGTAGTCTCCTCAATAGTCCTTTTCCGAACATTACCATGAAACTTTCTTATTCCAATTTCATTATTTGGAAAGGAGTTATGATTCCTTTCATTAGAAGTAGACGATTGATGGGTCACATTGATGGAGCATGCCAGGCACCACCACAATTCATTACCAAAGAGGAAGTGAGTACATAAGAAAAGAGAAAAGTTGTAACTCTTAACCCCGCAATATGATAATTGGCTTGTCAAGGATCGAAGATTAATTGGGTGAATTAATTCTATATTGTCAGAAGATATATTGGCACAAGTGCTTGATATAGACCCTGCTGAAGAATTGTGGAAGTAATTACAGAACACATATGTGAAGCAGTCACACACTAGTCTAATGCACTTAAGACGAGAACTTTTGAAGTGCAAAAAGCAAGATAAATCCATATCTGAGTACATAGTCAAAATCAAAGGAATTGTGATCAGCTTGCTATGATTCAGCATCCCATTCGTGATATTGACAAAGTTTACGTTGGCTTGAAGGGTCTTGGAGTTCACTATGAGACTTTTGTTACTAGTGCTACCTCTAGACCACCATATCCCACTTTTGCAAAATTATGTCATTTACTTCTTCAGCATGAAGCTATGTTCCCTAGCAAAAGGACGGCACAATCAAGTGTAAATTCTGACGATGTTTTGTTTTCCAACAATGATTATTCATTTCCTGAGAATGATGATCGTGAAGGTAGAGGCAAAGGAAGAAATGATAGAGGATGTGGTGGTCGTGGTAGAGGTGAACTTAAGGGAATACTATCGGGAGTGGTGTCCTACCTCCACCTAACTCCCGATTGTATTTTATTGAACGATCAACTATATAGGGGATCGTGTTTGCTAGCGGTTCATGGTGTGGAGAGTTATACACGGTTGATGAGTTGAAGAAGTTTGAAATTCTGGTCGTGTCTTGTGATGTTAAT